GCCCCAGAGAACAGGTTTACATATAGATAACCTACAGCCTGGCAACCCCACTCCCGGGAATGTAAGGCTCCCAGAAGTACTGGGGGAAACAAAGATCAACGACCACCGCCACCACCAACGGAACACTTGGATGTTCATAATTTTCAGAGTTAAGTCTTCGCATTCATTGGCAGGAGTATAACAGTATTTCCTGCAGCTGGAGCAGGTATGTCCAGGTATGTGAGGTATGTCCTCACACTCACTATGTATGAAGGGAGGGACATCATTCCGTCATTCAGTCATCACTTTCACCTATAAACGGTGACAGTTCATGGACTTATCTGGAACAAAAAATGATGCAATGATGCTGGCCTCTACGCTTCCAAATCTTTTGATCTGTCCATTCTTCTAGATCCAACCACTTAACACACCCACCACTGTTCTGTGGGCCCCAATGTCACCTGGCTTTCATGCACATACTAGGAAATGTGTTAGTATTAAAGTCCTGGTAATTACCTACTGACACAACTTCTAGGTAAGAAAGGACAGAACAAGAGGCATTTGCTCTCAAGTTCCCTAGGCCACTCAAATATGTAACAGAAGAGAGAGCACTGGCTCAGCCTCTGAATTCCAACTCTCCGGTTTGATAGCTGCACTGCTCTGATACCCATTCTCCTGATTTCTAAAATCACCGTAAAACCTACCCAACAAGAATGTTGTCAGGAAAATGCCTGTCAAATACCAGCCTGTTGCAAAAACAACAAAACAAACAGAATCCAGCACAGCAGCAGTGATAGCAGTTTACCTTTTCCCAAAATGCCTACACAAGGTTTTGTCTGGATCCTAATTAGAATCATGTATTTACCTTTAGTATCCAAATAAAACTTCTGGTAGTCAAAGAAATACAAACCAAAGGAACAATGTGATAGCAATTTCAGACTTCTAAATTAACAAATATCATTTTCAATGTTTTTATTCAAGTATGGAGGAGTTGCAGGAAGAAGGGAATCATGACACCAGTGGTGGCAACGTTAAATGCTATCACATCTCCAAAGAGTATTTGATACTTCAGGGTCCTTGTCCCTTGATTTGGTAACACTACTAGTAAACTTTCCTTGGGAGATAATTAAAAATACAAAGTATTTATGTCCAAAAATGTTCATCTTACAGAGGTTCGCGCTACCGTTAGCTCTTTCAGAAAGCCCGGCTGCACTTTATTTTTTTTTTTTTAAGATTTTATTTATTCATTCATGATAGTCACACAGAGAGAGAGAGAGGCAGAGACACAGGCAGGGGGAGAAGCAGGCTCCATGCACGGAGCCCGACGTGGGACTCGATCTCGGGACCCCAGGATCGCGCCCTGGGCCAGAGGCAGGCGCCAAACCGCTGCGCCACCCAGGGATCCCCCGGCTGCACTTTAAAGACTGCTGCTAAGAGAGGATATTCCCCGAGTTGGCAAGAGTCAACGCCCAGACACTCCTTCCTCGCCCTCAGGGCCACTCCTTACAGGCCTCGCAGGCCCTTTACACAAACGCGCAGCTCAGGCCCATGGCGGCTACACCCGGCAGGCAGGCCTGGCACCGCTCAGGGGCTGGGGGAGGCTGCGGGAGGCTGGGGGAGGCTGCGAGGGGCTGGGGGGCCGGGGGAGGCTGCGGGAGGGCTGCGGGAGGCTGGAGGAGGCTGCGGGAGGCTGGAGGAGGCTGCGGGAGGCTGGGGGAGGCTGGGGGGGGGGGCTGTGGGAGGGCTGCGGGAGGCTGGGGGAGGCTGCGGGAGGCTGGAGGAGGCTGCGGGAGGCTGGGGGAGGCTGGGGGGGGGCTGTGGGAGGGCTGCGGGAGGCTGGGGGAGGCTCCGGGAGGCTGGGGGAGGCTGCGGGAGAGCTGCGGGAGGCTGGGGGAGGCTGCGGGGAGGCTGCAGGGAGCAACCTCAGGGACAGGTGTGCTGGCTCAATGGGCAGGGGAGGGAGGACTCCCTGGGCTCCAGAACCCGTGACAGGCGATAACCAGCTCTTCTCACCCCCAGAGGCACAGGAGGGCAGAGTGGTACCCACAGGAAAAGAAGTCCCGCCTCACAGTGGTTACCTATAGCAGACACAGAGGCAGGTAACGTAAAGTTAAATATGCTTTATTAGAAAAATAAACAGAATTAAAATTATTTCTTAGAAATACTATTTCTTTGCATTGCAGGCAGAAGTCTGAGTATTTTCTGAATGTGCTCTCTACAATTAGAAGGAAGGAGTGGGAGATATTAGGTCCCAAGAAATAAATATCACGAGCGGAATGGAGAAAGCAGAGAAAGCAAGCAAGGATCAAGGAGAAGATGCTCTCCTAATCACTCCTAACGGAAGGAAATGAGGGGAGATAGGAGTAAGGACTCTGGGAGAGCACCACCAGTTAAGTCTCTAAATCGCATTTAAAATTTTCTAGAAATACATGTGTATGTATGTACACACACAAACACAATGTGCCTTTCTTTTCAACTAACTCCATCTGCCAATCCTCTGAAGTCCTTTGGAGTAACAGTAAGAGGAATGTTTGAACACTGATTAACTCAATGAACGTCACTCACTCCCTTGATACGATGTCAGCCGATGCACTTACCTACAGACGGAAGATCACTAAGGCCTTATGCCCCAACTGACGGGTTCATAAGGATTAGCTCAGGTAAGCTAGGAACACTAGCCAACTGATTTTGTTACACCATTTTTTTTTAATTTTTTTGAATTTTTATTTATTTATGATAGTCACAGAGAGAGAGAGAGAGAGGCAGAGACACAGGCAGAGGGAGAAGCAGGCTCCATGCACCGGAAGCCCGATGTGGGATTCGATCCCGGGTCTCCAGGATCGCACCCTGGGCCAAAGGCAGGCGCCAAACCGCTGCGCCACCCAGGGATCCCACCATTTTTTTTTTCACCTCTGAAACATCTTCCAAAACCACATCTTTAAAAAAAAAAAAAAAGATTTTATTTATTTATTCATGAGAGACAAAGAGAGACAAGAGAGAAGGGCAGAGACACAGGCAGAGGGAGAAGCAGGCTCCACGCCCGGAGCCTGACCCGGGACTCGATCCCGGCACTCCAGGATTGCACCCTGGACCAAAGGCAGGCGCCAAACCGCTGAGCCACCCAGGGATCCCCCAAAATCAAATTAATTACCACACAGCAAAATATTCTGAATAGTAACAGTCTAAATACCACCGATCATATTTAAAATAGGACTTCACCTAAACCACCTGAATACTTGAGACCCTTTATATTTTCAAACTATTGAAATTTCGTACATACGGCCTAGGTAATTCTGTGCCTTATTCAAAAAACGTCCTTTCCAAATTAACCACCCTCCTCCCCCAAATAAAACTTTACCAACACAAAGAAAACCAAAGATTGTCCTAAAGAGTTCACAGTCTTTCTTCCCAAGGGCTCTCATTTCATACCTCCAAACACTGACTAGATTCCCATAATCACTATGGTCCAAATATATACATATACATATGTACACATACTCACAAAGTCCTCCCTCCACATTACGCCTTTTTTCAGTGTGCCCTAAATACATTTTAAATGTAGACATTATGTTTTGTTTTCAGTGTTGCACTATGTTGACACCATAGGTTCCTCATTAAAGGGTACAATTTTTTAAGTCTATGAAATAAATACAATTGTATTGGTAAAACCAAAATTTTCTGCTTCATGAATACACAACCAAAAACAACTCTTCTAAATATATGGGAGAAATTTAAGGTTTCCTTTTTGTTTTGCTTTTGCATTGAATCCAAGCCACTGTAAGTAATAATTATAGTTGTTACCACTCATGAAGTGCTGAGGGAAACCAAATTTTATCTGCCTTTAAAACGGATCTTAGTTAACTCTATTCATCACAGATAAAGAGGATAAAAATCTGCTTAAGTCTGTAAAAACAGCACTTTCACATGGTGATAATTATGTCAAAGCAACCTAATGCCTTTTAAAAGTAAAGATAAAAATTATATATGGTTTTTTCCTTAAAAAGATTAACTCAAAACCACACCCGGAATCGCTAAAGCTTCTTCTGTATAGTTACTAAAATCTGTTCAATTTTTCCATTCCAATGAATTACAAAATCAAAGAGAATGCAATAAAGTAATCCTTAAGTATTTCTGATTTGTCTAAAAACAATGAACAATCAGTTAAAATTCAATCCCATAATGTTTATTAAGCATCTAAGACAGCAACAATCATTTAACCCCCCAGGTTTCCAAGATCCAAATATTCTAACGGCCCCTAACAGATTACTAATGTTTACAGATTCATTCTTTTATAACACTATTAGGTAGAAATTTGCCCATCTGCATTTTGGTCATTTACAGTGTGGAGAAAATGTCTCATTGTCCTATTAAAAAAAATTAAATTAAAAAACACAGTTCCTTGACATTAGTCACTGAAACCCATGTATCTGGTTTGTTGTGTACTTTTTGGGGGGGTTCTTTGCACATTCTTATTGAAGTACAGATAACAGCTCAAAGAGAATTATAAGAAATCTAGACATGATAAGTTTGAACCAGTATTTTCTAGGAGGTAATGTTATTAACTTACACTAAGTTTTTGTAAAATAACAGAGCTCGTGTTGTTTATGGATCGGCAAGCAACCAGAACTTTCTCTAAGACAGTAGAGGCAGGAAGGTTGAAGATAATGGGAACCATAAATTACAACTCCTACTTGGTGTAAGTGAAAATCAGATAGTACTCCAAAGCTACAAGTCTTTAATTCACGAAGGACTGGGATAATTGTTATTTTAAATTGTCAGTTTATTTCATATTCTTAATTCTGGTGCATAACCCAGAAAAACAAAGTATATGAAATTCTAGTAAGAAATGAAGCCTGTAATAAGTAATTGAAACTTTTACTATGCCACCAATATTGATACGCCTTCTTTGCTAGACATGGGTTTGTTTGGGGGAGGTTTTTTGGCTCAGAAACTCAGCTACCAAAATATTTCCACATAAACATGATATATTTACATCCGTAAGTAATATATAAATTGCTTACCTGAGTCAAGTGTGGTGTAGGGTTAAATCCACAGAGATTACACACTTGATTCTTGCATTCAGTGCAAGTACTGAAGTTAGGGGGATCCTTAGAACCTATGTTGAGTTCAGTTTTGCAGAGAGGACAAGTTGATTCTGGTTTGGAGGCTTCCTCCAATTTGGGGGCAAGGACAGTCTTTTGAGGCTCAGCTGCTGAAGATTTGCTATCCTGGACAGGCAGAGGCTTCTTTTCTGTTTCTGTTCTTTTTACAGTTGGAACTTGTTCAGCTTTGGGCTCTAATTTATCAGCCACTGGAGCTTTTGTTTCTTTTTTCACAGGTATAACCTTTGCAGGCACTGGGGGCATCTGGCCCATGGATTTGGGTGGCCCCTGAGGAGGTGGCTGCGAAGGGGGAGGGCCTTGCTTTGCTGGGGCCCCAGGCCCACTCTGAGACTGGGCCCCAGGCTGGCCTGCTGTGGAGATTAAATTTGATGCCTGGCTGAAGATTGAAGCTCCAAACCCAAAGAGTTTTCCAGTCACGGTTTCTTGAGGCGTCGTGGGCTGTGATTTGGGGGCATCCGTAATACTTCCCAGACTCAGACTGAAGCGTCTCGACTGCTCCTGAGGCTTTGGGGGCTGCTGAGATGTGGGGGCAGTTTGGCCAGTGGTAGGTCGTGGGCCTGGGGGTGGAGGTGACCCTTTTGGCATGGGCTTGGCATCTGGCTTAGGACTCATTTTGGTTTGTGCTTTCTTGGGTTCTTCCCTCTTTTGAACAGGATCCACTTGTTTTTGACTTTTGCTCTCTGAACTAGGCCCAGGATGTGAAATAATTTTTGAATCTGATGCAGGTCGGGGTATGACTTTAGAATCGACAGGGGTGACTTTTTCTCCTGTTGGTGGAAAACTCTGCGACGGTTTGGCAGCATCTGTTTTGAGAGGAGGGGCTATTATCTCTTGATCCTCTGACTGCACTCTAGAGCTTGGAATATCAGGCTTTGCTGCTATTGATGCTGAAGACACATCTGTGGCTGGTTTTACCGTCTTGGGCTGCTTTGGTTTATCCTCAGCCGTGGAGACCTTGGCCTGCTCCGATGGGACCGAAGGCTCTTTGGGAGGGGCTGGCTTGGATGAGGACTCTGCCACAGGAGGGTGCTTGGCCGCAAGTGGGGGAGAACCATGAATGGTTGGTTGTTTCACTAGGGGTGGGGGCTTCTTAGACTCAGGTGCCTTTGAGATATCCGGTTTGGGTATAGGATCCTTCTTTGGAGAACTCTGCTGTGGCTGTGGGGATGGTTTGCTCACAGCTGATGCAGGGGCAGTCTTCGGTTTGGGCTGAGGTGATGATGGACCTGGAGCCAGATCTCCTCCTAGAGCTCTTTTCATCTGACAGTTTAAACAGAGCCACTCTTTTATCTAGAAATAATTATGAAATAATGGTCAGAGACAGTAACAATGTAAAGACACAAAAACATTTTTAAAAATACATGGTATCATTTGAAACTATGTTACTCATCATCTATATTTTTTTAAAGATTTTATTTATTTATTCATGAGAGACACACAGAGAGAGAGCAGAGACACAGGCAGAGGGAGAAGCAGGCTCCATGCAGGGAGCCCAATGTGGGACTCGATCCCAGGTCTCCGCCCTGGGCTGAAGGCGGCGCTAAACCACTGAGCTGCTCTCATCATCTATATTTTAAGAGATCAACTTATTTTCCTTAATTTGTATCAAAAATTTTATAATGTTAATGACACTTAAATATAATTACTGAAACTCAGAGACTTAATAAGCACTCTATATTTTAAGGAAAATAAAAAAGTAAAAATAAACATATTTGTATTTTTTTTCTAGTGTTAATTTTGTTATTCTTTGCCTTTGATTTACTGAAAGTTTGCACCCCCATAAATTGGAAACATTGTATCATTAAAAAGATGAGCTATAACATATTAGATTCCATAAATTAGTTTCATTAGATATTTTCTCTATTGATGGTTCATAAATAGTTTTTAGGTATACAACCTAGTATATGCCTGTTAAATTTTTAACACATTGCTAAATTTCTTAAATTAGCAGAGCATTACTTTCCCCTCCAAGGCAACATAATCAAATGTGCTAAAACAAAAATTGTTAACCACACTGGGTAAGAAAGAGAACATTCTCTGTTAAGAAAATTAAAAAAGGGGGGGGGGGCACATCTTCAAATTATCATAAATAATACCGTGATTTAACAGGGGAAATATTCTTCCTTATAATTTTACGGATATACTAGAAAGAGCAATATAAGTAAACAGTACACTTATTCAGCTGGTGAGATATGTATAGATGTGAGATATATATCACATATATAAACATAGGTATAGAATTAAATGCCTCTGCTGGTTTCATACTGCATCAATTATAAAAAGGAGATGCTGAATTTGATACTTGAGAACATAATTTAAAAGTATCTATGTTTAACATTTACCTTTTTAATTCCAAAATAATATACAATTATACAAAATTTTCAATATTTCCAAAGTAATTTAGAATGTCAAATTCTACATGATCCAGTCTTCTCCCCTCAAAGTGACAATGACACCAGTTTAGCACAGAGGTTCTATGTACAGAAGTCTGTATAGCGAAAAACGAAATATGTGGAACAGAGGTATGAGAACGGTTTTCCATGGTACAAAAGTATGAAGTGTTTGGCTGGCAAAAAACATGCTCCTTACTTGCAAACAATTTCCTTCTGAAAAGAACTGAATTAACCTTTCCTAAACCCTTAAAAACTTCTGCCATTTAACAGTTTATATTGTTAAACCTTTTTGGTAAGAAAAAATAAAAACCTTACTAAATCTTTTTCTCAATCATTAAAATGGCTTTAAAATAAAAAAGCGCACTGAATCATTTAAACTCATGCACCGGTGTAAAACGGCTTGTTTTGCAATATCATGGAAAGCAAACTTTTGTTTGGAGAAAGTTAAAGAGATGGTCAACTCTAACAAGATGTATTTCTGCTTAAAAATGTGAAACATTAAAAATAGAGCTACCCTACGACCCAGCAATTGCACTGCTGGGGATCTACCCCAAAGATACAGATGCAGTGAAACGCCAGGACACCTGTACTCCGATGTTCACAGCAGCAATGTCCACAACAGCCACACTGTGGGAGGAGCCTGGGTGTCCATCTACAGATGAGCAGATAGAGAATTTGTGGTCTATGTATACACTGGGATATTCCTCAGCCCTCAGAAACGACGAATCCCCACCATTTGCTTCAACGTGGAAGGAACTGGAGGGCGTGATGCGAGTGAAGTAAGTCAATCGAGGAAGGACAATCATCACAGGGTTTCACTCATATGGGAAATATAAGAACTAGTGAACAGGATTATAGGGCAAAGGAGAGAAAATGAGTGGGAAATATCAGAGAGGGAGACAAACCATGAGAGACTCCTAACTCTGGGAAACAAAGGGTAGTGGAAGGGGAGGTGGACGGGGGGATAGGGTGACTAGGTGATGGGCACTGAGGGTGTATTTGATGGGATAAGCCCTGGGTGTTATGCTATATGTTGGGAAATCAAACTTCAATAAAAACAAATTTTAAAAAAATGTAATGGGTAGAAAGTACTTGGGTGTTCATTACATTTCTTTCCAGTATAAGGGCTGAGTATCTATGCACTTTTAATATTCTTATCTTTACTTTTCTGTATGCTTAAAGCATTTCACAAAATAAATTTTTGTACATATAAATATTTGAATCCCAAAACACAAGCAAATGCTACTTATGCAAGCACCGTGACAAAAAGTAAGATTGAACCTTTCACTCCACTTTATCTGCTTCTTGAGGAACAGAAATTCCTCCATAAGTCTCCAACTACCTACTCAATCATCTCCCCTCCTGTCAATGTAACTTCTGCTGCTCTACTGTTCATTTTTTCTCATTTGTCTTTTTCCACAGCCTTAAATGGTACCATAATAGCTCATAATCATGCAGTCAGACAAAAGAAAATATAATTAAAAACATAATTCTTTACCTAGGCTCTGTCACTGATTTTTTTCCTATAAAACACTGTGAGATGTGCATCTACATTAACCACATTAAATTATAAACTCCTAAGGTTAGTGACCTGCATACATTATAGTTAATTGCTTTTAATCTTTTTGACAAGTGTTATAACCAAAACAGATGCAAAATTCATTCACCTATTTCTTTTTCATTTTTCTTTTTAAGTAAGCTCTACACCCAACATGGGGCTTGAACTCACAACTCAAGATCAAGTCTCATGCTCTGCTGACTGAGCAGCCAAGCACCCCCACCTGCTCATTTCTTTTTTTTTTTTAAGGTTTTATTTATTTTAGAGAAAGAGAGCGCACATGTGGAAGGGAGAGGTAAAGGGAGAGGGAGAGAGAGAATCTTAAGCAGACTCCCCACTGAGCACAGAGCAGATGCAGAGCTCAATATCATGACTCTGAGGTCATGACCTGAGCTGAAATCAAGAGTCTAACACTTAAGGGACTGAGCCACCCCAGGGACCCGAGCCAACCTATTCGTTTCTTTATTCAAGTATTTATAGAACAACTTCTACTTGGCACATAGCACTGAATAAAAGAGATAAACCTCCATCCTCCTGGAGACTACATCATAGTAGAGAAGTCAGACAAGAAACAAGTTAACATACAGCTTCAAGGTTATTACAGATACATAGTAAGAATCTGATGCTACTGTGGTGACTACTTTTTTCCTTTCTTCCTGCTGGGAAACTTCCTTCCATGCTCCCCCCTAATACTTCCTTGGATTCACTTGGTTTTCTCAGTAAAATTGTAAGTCTCTCTGCAATGTGAACTTTGGAGCTTCATGCGTAGCTAGCTGTTAGGCTTTCACTGCACTCTCAACACTGTAAAATTAGAACGCTACCACATCATAGCAAATGCATGATTTACACTAACACTGGGAAACACATTTTGTACTGCCTTTGTTCCAAAATCCAATGTCTCCTTGTGGTTTATAAATATATATGACTCTTGTTTCCACATAAAGACACAAGGGAGAGTTAGGAAGAGAGGTGGATGTCACAAGTCACTGCCTCCTCATAGAGGAGAATCCTGCTTTTCTCTTCATTCTTTTTTGAACAAACTCCACTGCTCCATCTTTTGTCCTTTTAATGACCACATTTTCTTCATTTTGATAAACAACACATAAAAGACATTCTGATCCCTCAATGTTCCTCCTCCCTGCTAGAACACAGGTTAAAATCACTGTAGCGATCACAATATGAAAAGCTTTTTATCCTCTTAGGAATTTTTAGAAAGAGCTTCCTTTATATTTAATTCTACCGGCCAAATCCGCTGAAACTAGAAATGATTTTTTCTCAGCGCTTAACAATCTAGCACTGAAAACAGAAGCATTTCCAATTCCCTGATTCAAGTGGGAAAATAAAAACAAAAGCAAACTTCCCATACACTGAGAAAATGAGAATCCACAAGCCGCCCCAACATCAGGAACCACCTTGTACACCTTGTACTTTACCGTGGACCGTGCCTTCCACAATTCTGTGCAGGCATCTAACGGGTAGGCAGTAACAGTGCCTTCTCCTTCTCAGTCATCGGAGTCAGAAATGCTGTGGTATTTTCACTGCATTCTCAGTGACTCCACAAGGGTGTCTGTTTGCTTGTGAAAGGTAGTTTCCCATTCATCTTTTCACATTTCCAAAGCCAAAGTCCCTCACTTGTCCAGATACTTTACACCCTCACAAAAGGGTAACTGTGTCAAACGACCAACCACAGAAGGGGTGGACTCCAACTACTTCCTCTCATACCTTTCTTTCATACCTTTAACTATGCCTCTCCCAGAATTGTGAAATGAAGTTAATCTTTTGCAAGAACTTCAAAATATATAATTTTGAAATATACAATGCAACCACTTCCATCATTCTTCTATTTCCTGGTCTATATGTCCCAAAAGATGGTGAGGACTTACTGGTAGTAGTCTTTTCACTGACACCCTGGGGTCTAACTAATCCTTTGAGTGTGACAGGCCCACAGTTTTTGAGCTGGTTTAGATTAAACAAATTAACTCAAAATGTTTGTGCTCTTCAAGCTACAGCCTTCCTGTGTTTACTCTGCTAATTGCCATTGTTTACACAGTTTGTAGGACATATTTCTCCCTTCATTTTCTGGTTGCATGCCATTCTCCCTAGAACTCTACTCTATACCTCTGGCGATGTACAACCTCTCCTCATTTTGAGTCAAATTGAGTCTCTCATAATCACCATACCTGCTAACCAGACATATTTTCCCTGCCTAGAGGCAATTACTGCCTCATTTCACTTCCAAAATCAAACACTTATTTCTGAGGAGAAATGAACCTGAATTTATTACCATCACTGCCTCAGACACTCGCTGCCAGTTCCATTTGGTATCCATGTCTATTATA